TGATACAAAATTCACCTTTGTGGCCCATCTTATGACATTGTTGGCAAACGTGTCGTTTGAAAGGGCAAAAACGTTCGAAGTGCCATTCCGCGCATGATCAGCATGGAGTAGGTGGCTTATTAGGCTTTTGTCTTGAGTGTTTATTCGCCGTTTTTCGTATTTCGTTTTTCACAGCATGATCTGCACTGGATAGTATTCTGAATTCTGCCCAATGAGTGCGGTGTCACTTTCTAAGGTTAATATGCGCCTGCAATCAGCTGCAAGGAATTTGAGGGTCATGTCCGGATGTTGATCGAGCTCCGATTGTAGACGTATGCGAATTTCCGCTTCTTCAGGCGACTGTGAAGCTCTTATATATCAAGGGGATTTAAACTGATCATCCGTCAGTGAGCGTAGCTTAAAACATTCACGTTTGACGATATCGGCTCATTTGTTATGGTAATCAGTATCGCGTTCGAAGGTGTTCTGGCAATGAAACCGAACACTAAGCAATGAAGCTGAATCGCCGCATATCTTATAAATTTTGGGCAATGTTTCCTCAAAGTTAGGACTTTGAGCTGTTTCGGCAAGCTGTGATCTAGAAATCTGGAGTGTTCGTTCCAAGTTTTTGGAGAAGGAGCCCTGCTTTCCAGGATTTCTCCTTACTACTAAATTTTATACGGTACAAATCTTCCCATCGTTTGAATCATGGACTAAACACGAGACCCAGGTCTGGGGCGTAATTAAATTCATTGGTAAAATTAATTTAAATGTTAATAGAATTCGTGTGGGCATTTGGACGAATTTGCTCGGGTTACACGTTTAATCGCTGTGTCCGTTTTTTGACCAGTTTCATATGCGCTTCGGTTTTTACCGGTTGTTTCGTATTAATCCATGAATTTGTCTCTCATAGAACCCCGGCTGATATGGAGATTTTTCCGCTCTTTCAATCAATCGGGTAAGATACGCAGTTGCCAGTTGTTTTGGTCGAGCAAGGAGAAATGAATTCGGATGAGCTCCCAGAGACTCTTAGCCGGTATACCGTGGTATTGTCAGAACACGCGATACTGCTTAATAGTGCGTATCGGAAAGGTGAACACAAAACCGGACTAGGCAATTACCAACAGCACAAAACTGACCGTATGTCGTAGTCGAAACATGTGTGATTTTATAGCTGGCGGGTTCTTCACAAGTGTTGTACGTTGTGCTGGTCGAGTAATAGGTACAAGGTTGTGTTACACAAAACAAACACAAGATCTGTGGGTTTCGGTAAAAGCATGCCAATGCTAAGTATGCCCACCAGTAGTTAGTTGTACACTCGATCCGGAACATGTGGCTTATTCACTTTTTGTAACACAGTAACAAGTTTCGAACACATTTTCGTGAAGCCGTCTAGTTTCGGTTTTGCAAAAGCTGTATTGGAACAGGGTTAGGTTGGTTCTGGCCCTAACATTACATCCGGATTCTGTTCCAAGATCACCCTGTGAAATGTCAGTTCGTGCGTACAATGGAGGTGTTGTGAACCAGACAAACTTTGTCATGTACTTCACAACTTCAACATTAATATACACATGAAGACACGACGGTTTGCGATAAGGGTATAGGTTTTCTCATATAGGCATTCCAAGTGCTGGAAATAAACCCATATAGGTGGATGAAGTTTACTTTGACTATACTTTACTTGTATATGTGTTATTGTAGTGAACGGATTGACGTTTGACAAGAAATATCTGGGACCGCATCTGGAGGGTTGTTGAACTTTGCTACCTCACATTCCTTGCCTAATCACCCGCTATTCATCCTAATTAGCGTTTGTGGAAGCTACTTACGTTGCCAAAAGATATTGGTAGTTCAGTTCCGTAGTGTAATGGAGAGGCGTTTTATGTCGAGTATACAAGCTAATTCTGGATAAGTCTAGTAGGTTATTTACGGTGAAAAATAAACAAGAGAAAATCCAGTGTCGATCGAAGAACGCGTGAGATGTGATGGATTCCCTAATGGATCTGCATTAACACATGCGTGTTTACTTTTATGCGTGGATTATGATCCCATCCAGTGTTTTTGCTCTGCAATAATGTCAGCATCTGATGGTCATGGGTTCTAGCACACAGTACATGTGTATCAGGGTATTGGCAAGGTGCATTCTGAGTAGGGGCAAACTTGCTGACCAATTTGGATCCTCTGGAATGGTTAAAGGAATATCCTTAACTTTGTGGAATTTGTGGGGCAACCTAGATATATGGATGCCTAAAAGCCCATTAAGCCCTTTGTACTTTACATACATTCGAAGTGAATTAAAGTGACCCAATGGTGATATGTCTACTTATTTTATACAGCAAATCTGTAGGGCACAGAAGGATTTCGATGCACAGCCCTTCTCCGGATAACAACGGATGAGGCGTGTTGTGCGGAGCGCATGAACCATTCGGAAATCGCAAGCCGAATGCATGAATCATGTACAAATAATCTATGCCACCACATCTATGCTACCACATGTGGTAAGCATGAGTCAGGAACGAAATGAAAGGTAAAGATGAAGCAAAGTCATTTGAATAAACGACGATTGCGCAGTTTACGAAGGTTCAGAAAATAAAATGGAACAGTGCAATAAATATGGAATGGAGCATGGTTTAATTGTATGCTTTATCCACACCAACTTGTTTGACTGTGTAGTCCTCAACTCTAGTGACAGCAAGACATATCCTTAGATCATGGACGAGTAGTTGAAACATTGAAGATGGTAATTTTAGGAGAGTCTCTAAGAAAACCAGGAACAGACTGGGCCCGTGTACCTAGCCTTGAGCTGCGGCCTAATGGACTTCCATCATGTCGCCTAGATTGATGCAACCCTCGCATTCATAAGACATTGACCAATAAAGTTGCCTACCCCGAGAAGAAGGAGACCGCCGATTTCAGAATTCGGGAGCTTATATAGTAGATTGCAGACTGTCCAGAAGGTCGAATGCTATTTATAAATCAAGCTACACGGCGTCTAGTCGTACGCAAACGCATACAGGTTTCGTCTGGCTTGCAGTAGCTATCAGAAGGTTAGTAGTCTAGACTGACTTCGACGAAATCCTTTCTGCGTCAGAGTGAAAATTTTGTCACTGTCCATGTCACCCCCTAAGTATCTCAGTGATAATGGACACCATGGCCTTGGAGCCAACCGGGTGATTATTCGCAGCTTCTGCACGGCAAACACTTTTGCAGATTCAAGTAACAAGCCAGTGCTTCCCCATCGCTGGAACGTGCCAATTCTTAAATCATGGTTAATAAAATACTGTTTTTGGTTTCGCTAAACGCATTGTAACCGATTTTCATGCATTGGTGCTTTTAAATAAGAGATTCGATGGTTGACGCCTTCAGCGTTCTAGATTATGGCTGCGAGATCAGCCAGTCGATGTTTAGAAACAGTATTAGAGCAGTTTCCATCCCTAAATCGACATGGCTTCGTGCAATTTAAAGCCTTAATTAATTATCAACATTCAAAACGTAGAGACCTTTTCTACGCTGCATTTTCATGCAGCTTTATCTCTTGTTTCTATCCACTCTTGCAGTTGTTTAATGTTATGTTGATGCGAAGCATGTTACGATTGAACAGCAGAACAATGGCATAATACGAAAAATATCTAGGCTTGGCAAGTCCCGTGGGATGTTTTGTGGGAAGAAAGTTATTTCAAAAAAGTTACATATAATGGAAAGACGCATTTGTGGACTCACCATATTATCCTGGCTAATGCAAAAGCCTATCCGTCTACCCCAATTTCTTTGGGTTGGTGATTACAATATTCGTCTGCGTCTTGTCTTCGCTCGATGGACATACATGAAATCAAATAATCCAAGCAGTGTAATGCATCTTCGAGTCGTTTTAAAAAGTGGGTAGCGCGGACGCAAAAATGACAAAACTTGAGAGAATTTCACCGTTGGCAAATTAGAAGGAAAAGTAATTCCGGTGGCACTCAAACCGACGGTATTGGTTGGCCACTTCCAGCTCATAACCCCTGAATTCTGTGTTGCTTCAAATATTCCGGGGTTTTTCAAGACTGAGTTCACTAGAATGACGTCAGCTGTTCGACGAAGATATTTTCCGTTGTACACTCCCACGGCTGTCAGTCGCATCTAGTATGACACATGGAACATTTCCTTCATATTTTTCGTTGCCTTTTCCTGGGTGGTCTCAAGTGCGTTCAGGTCGCGTTTTAGCCATGCTTGCTACTCCTGGATTGCGTACTCCACATGGGGCCACACATACGCAGTTGACATTTGGGGGAAGATGGATGGGTCAAACTTCTAGTTTGCTCATTCTAAGAGACTAAAAGGTGAGTTTGCGTTGTTGGGTGTCTCCATTGACTGCTGCGAACAGCCGAATTCCACTTGCATCACTACCCCAAGGTCACCTTCCTCTCTAGCGGCCTGTAACTTGTGGGCTCTAAGCTCAACTGCGTAAGTGAGCTTGTGGCGTACGTGTACAGATTTGCAATTGTCCGAGGTAAAGGGAATTAGATTTGCCTTTGACAATATGAACAACATACCGTACGTAGCGATCTCCGGACCATGGCTGTTTGCTAGCTTTTAACATTTTGCGCTCTATGTATCCTTCCTAAAATATAATAATCATAACTTGTATTTGGCTGGATGCTTTATTATTTTCAGAGTAAGCTGGGCACTTAAACAACGCCTGACGCCATTCTTCTCAGCTCCAAGGCTCCGCTGCATTTAACTTGTGCATAGTTTCGATTACTTTGCAGTCTTTGGGAGGACATATCCTTGTGGGTTTTGCTTTACAGCCGGTCCAACTGAAATACCACCGTCAAGACACGGGACAAATAATTTTAATCATAGGAGTCTCTTTAGCTCCAGTATCCCCCTCTAAATATGTCGCACCATTTTTAACGTGAGTACGGTACGCTTCAGAGCATGTGCAACACCAGTTAAGACTACACACGCATTACATTTGTTTCATATATGAAATTTATCTACGGGCGCATTGCATATGTTCACGTTTCTCGGGTTTTCTACAGGTAGTGGAGCAGACGCACTATGTCGAATCTGGAGCACCGTGTCCATCCTCGCATCTTACGTCACCACTGTCAACGTTATCGCTTCTAGGAGCGACTCACAGCTTCTTCGTTGAGAACACTGCTACCGCAGCAAAGGAGGCCGATATTTTCACCACATCAAGTGACTCATTTCATGGTTGAACAATAAACAACGAGTTTAGCCATTTTGGAGGCACTGGGTTACAATCCCCGTTGGATGGTCTGGATCAGTTAGCGAAAGTGTCAGAAGAAGAATAAAATTAATTATTTCACCAGGACGCATAGTGCTGTGTGTTTATGATACAATATTTCTTCATTCCTTCTACTAGCACATCACGAGTAAATGATGGATGGTGAATGAAAGGCATTTTATTCCACAAGTTGATAAAAGCTAAAACGCAACAAGATGCAGATGGGAAGAGTAGAGCATTTAAATGCCATTTGATTATGATTGATGTCAGCGCAGCAACGACCGATAAAGTGAGTGCGCTTTAGAACGAAAGTACACAACCAAAACAAGGATTTCTGCAACATCCCAGGAGGTTACACTGTCCTGTCAGCTTCAGAGAATCACCTTAAACTAGTTTTACTGCTGAGCTGCTGTAAGGAGCGTACACATGAATTGGATCTTGCGTGCTTACGTAGGTCACTGTCCACTTGCCTTGTAATCAACGATGCCATCCACTGAATGTTTTTAAGCATTTTAGCTTCTGTTTGCATAAAACGTTAGTAATCCTAATGGCGCACCTGGCGTCTTGATCTTAATGCTTCGCTAGAGCAGGGTGATCGCCTTTCAGCAATCGCTGCCAGGCGCAAACTGCGCATTCAACATGGGATGAACAGTATACTAAAATCTTCACATCGTAAGGGCAAGGAGAACTTTAAATGAGTAAAATTCCCGACGAATATACGAAAACCTCGTGACTGGTACCTGCCACTTGGTAATAATCCAGTCTTTCTTAATCTCCTTAGTTAACACTGAAAACGTCTGATCTCACATTTGTTCCAAGTTGTTTCCAATGTGCAGTCGTTCTCACAATGAAACTGTGGACAAACGTAAATCCATTGATATTTTTATGTGCTACACATATTTGGTCCCCCATTATTTGTTCTGTTACCCAGATGTCTGATGGTCAGACTAATGAAACCGAACCTTTGCAAACAGATGGACTTTGTGACCAGTCTTGCCTTGCCCTGGTAAGACGCAGGCAATGACCTTGAGTTGCTCAGTGTTTTATTGATTTTCCTATTGACCCCCTTTTTCAATTGCATTCCTTTACTCTTTCTACGATTTGTCTGTAAGCGGCTGAATGAGAAGACACGAAATAATCTGAATTCAGGTTATCCCGCAGAAATGCTGTTCGTGCTTGCTCTCTTGAAATATTTATACATTATTGTTATATACCGAACTTCCGAATTTTAAATTAACTTTTCAATATGCATAGTCTCATACCTCCTAAAACTATGGTATTTTTCTTCCTTTTCCCAAGCATCTGCTTAAACGTATATAAACTTTTTGAAATTGTCATGGAGTCCGACGAATATTGAAACGAACTCCATGGCGCAAGTATAAATGGAATTAGAAACAAAAGTGTTTTGTACAGCAACGTTGTAAAAACCGTACTGCATTTCCTTTGTACCTTATAATCGGAGCAGCTAAGCTGGCCCGTGCCAACCTAGTTGAGAATACACCAATTAAGAAGAGCTAGCGTTATCATTGACATGCCGATCACTGCTCTAGAAGTGACTCCACTCCTTGACACTACATGTTTATACAAGAGAGATTTGTGCCTCTAATGCAATCTTTTCCAATTACAATATTGCGGTATTCATGATGTATTAGAACTTTTATGGTACGGATGACAAGCTTCTGAAAATGCACGCACTTGGTACATAAAGCCGCTATTTTCAAATACAGGTAGTTGAGAAGTTCTCCCAAGTTTCCATATCTTCAAACTGAGTCAATGACAAGTACAACACCGTAGTACTTCGAGAAACTTACACCAGATGACGGTAATCATTTCGTAACGACGAGATTTAAGCTATCCACGGCATTGCGGAGTTTCCCTACATAAACGGTTATAAGCGCCACCGATCAGTTTCAACTGCTTCGTTCTTAGACGGCCTAATTCGCGTGATAATGGCTCCGCCCTGAACCCCGCAGATACAGAGAACTAATGAGCTTCGAGCTAAATGTCTACGGGAACACGGAGCTGAGTGAATAGCATTCGAAACATGGATCAATATCTAATAGTGAATAAAATGATGGTTCAACACTGGTGATTGTAAATGGGATGTAATAGACTAATTGGAAATTTGTACATTGAAGCAGTTGTTTGGTATAATAAAAAGCGAGAGTGAGGTACTGTCGCTTTGCTGACGAATGAGGCGGTCGCATACAAAACATATATGTTGAATACACAAGCGACAGAAACCGATGCAGCCTAAGCTCTCAGCCCCAGTTGGGAACGAGGACCCAAGATCCAACTTTAATGAGTAGGTGTCAATGCGCCAAAAATATGCTTTTGCTGGTTTCCTTTATTAACACTGGCCGACAATACATTAGTTTTGGCTTTTGTGCCAAGTAATATATATATATATATATATATATATCTGTATATCATCACTGCATTTTAACTCACTTTACTTCCCTAGTATGGTAAAATTTAGTAAAAGTAGAAAGCTGACAGGAAATGGCCTTTATCATGGTACATACATTTTGCTGCCTAGTGAGCCATGAGCTAGGCCACTCGGGACCATCACCGAAGCGACGACGGGTCCTGCAGTGAAGGTAGGCAGAACCGGCGCAGCGTTTGTAGGTACGCTGCATCTGGTTTACTATCCGCGTGCTCGCAAGCCAAGTCTCTTTATTTCAGGTGGTAAATTTGCAATTTTCTCCTAATTCTTTTCTTTCTCATATAACTGTCGACCTGTACTAACTTTCATAAACTTGCACACGTCGCTTAACTCAATTGTAGTTAAATTCGATACCATTTCGTGTTTGTGGCATTTCCGTAAATTAGACTTTCTGACTTCGTGAACTTATGTCGGATTCGTTTGTAGACAACTTATTTCATATGCTCATTAATTTAAGATTTTTGCCACGTTTCCTTATGCAGTACTCGATTTATTTTCTTTGTTAACTTTCAAGTGATTGGCTGTTGTTTGATATCCCCCGTATGGCTGCGCTTCATGTGCATGTTGACAAGGTGCGTACCTGTCTATTACCTACTACCTCGTCCATACTGCCTCAGGAGACAGTCGATCGTTTTTGGAGGGGAAAGGGTGCACGGTTCTTGTGGCCGTGGTAGGATCAAAGAGTGGTTCTATGCACTCAGTGTGGAGCGGACTACGGTCCAGCCACCGCCTTGTGTGCGCTTGATTCCCCAAATACATTGTGCTTGTGATTGCCTGTGAAGAAGTATGGGCCGGCTCCGTTGATGAAATGTGGCTCCCATCCACATGCTTCCCTGTCTTATTCCTTCGGGTTTACACTGGATATGGGGTGTGTGGATGGAGCTGTGGGTGGTGCAGCGCAAGCCACCCGTGGTCCCTCTGTAGGCGCAGGCGTCCGATGGCTTGCCACAGTGACAGACAAATCCGAAACCGCATGCCGCCAACCATATAGATATGCAACAAATCAGATACAGATGTAGCAATAAACAAGAAATATTACAGATATATGTCATCGATATATAACAGTGCAAATATCAAATGCAGCGGTACAGCCTAGACATAAGTACTACGGCAACAACAGTTAAACGGAAGGGGTTAAATGATGCCATTTCATGCTTCTGTGTGCGGTTTTCCTCCATCTCTCTGGTTAATGAGTACGGAATAATAAGGATAATTAGCTGTACAATTTAACCTCACTTAGCTCGATTTCGTGCTATGTGTTCCGGGAGTCGAACCTAATTGATATATTTGTTTGTAATACTACTATCCTGGAACACACTAAACCGGGAATCGCTAGACAAGAGTACAACGCTTTCACGTTTTGTCACCATGTGACATGCTAATCGGTGCGCGAGTTCTCCAGGGCATATATTGTGAGGATGAATAGAAGACGATATTTTAGCCGGTAGCACGATGTGCACGCAACGCAGACTTGCCAACCTGTTTGCAAAGTAATAACCTATGGAGTTGAGTGGATACACTGACTGTGACATGGCATCTGACCTCACGACTACGAATGTGAACGCCCACCGCAAATACTCGTTGTCAAATCTGACGCAGAACTAGGATCCACACTAAAGCATGCAGCAAGGAAGGGGTTAAAGCAACCGCATTTTCGCAAAGGTACTTATCTTGGTGACAACAGAGTTTCTTCGGTAATGGAATTTGACAGAGTATGAAGAGTTTAGAGTGTATTATTCCTTCCAGTGGTGCGAGCGACTAATGTAGCTACCCGGCTTTCGCAGACCCTTACCTATATTAGTAAGTGCTGCAAAAGCTGGATGTTGGTCCTGGTGCAGCACTATGTAATTTTAGGAGGCAAATGTTGTGCGGAGCATAGAACAGTTTACAGTTCTCTACTGATGACAGCACCCATGGCTTTATCAAATTGTGTGGTGCTAGTGGATCACACAAGCCGAAGTAAGAATTACTCAGACGGGTCACCACAAGCCTGATAAGCGAACTCAGGGAATCCCACGTAGTCCATGTTGATGGACGATACGTCGAGTTAAGTGCTTTCGTTTTAGTCTATTGACGTTTAAGGTCAAAATGCACGCCATAACTTTCGCGTGCGTTCGCTGGAACACAGGGCACCGCAAGCGTGCATGAAGAGTCTGATTTTGGTTGGTATATACACGCACATCGGCCATATCGCTGCGTCGTTTTTGGAGAACTTACTTACCACCTGTAGACCGAGCAGCTGATGATCAACGTACAACCAGAAAACGATTCTTGAAAGAAATGACAGAGGTAGCTTGATTTAGTCGACAAACACAGGGAAGACTCAACAAAGTTTAACGATGCTCGGCTGTACAAGGGCTGAGCTACTACATCGGTGAGACTGCCCGCAAACATGTGACTTTTTAAAATTAATGACACTTCTTAGAACAAAGTCTTACGCAGTCGCTTGGCTTTTGTT